GGTATGGATTATGCAGAAACCATACATACAAGTTATGAACTTATTTCATCAGAGCCTCATTAGGCCTAATTCCTTTCTCCTCGCGCAGTTAAAAGGGAAATCCTTCACGTGAAGCGGCTCCTTTGTTCTTATACTTTCCAGACTTTTCCCAAACATATAAAACATTTTAATATTAACTTTTTTGTTACTTGGTGTGACTAGAAACTGCCAGCATGTCTACATTAATTTTTTATAATTAACCAAAGATTGACTCTTCTGAACTAAAAAAGGCCAAATAAAAAAAATAACAAATAAAAACCCCAAAGTCAAATCTAGTCAGTGTTTTTGATCATTAATAATTGTCCCTCCTAAGCCACTCTGATGAAAAAAAATAATTATGATAGTTCTTTTACACAAGTTTGTTTTCATCTGTTGATGCTTCCCCCCCCCCAAAATGTTTAATAAAAACATTTAAGGCTGTTTGTCTGCGCGCCGCGCGCCCGGTCAGTAGGGGAGGACGTGAATAAAGGACTCCGGCTCGGAGAGACAAAATGACCCAAGACGAGTTGATCAAACATTTGTTCAACGGTTTTCCATCTCTGCACGCCTCGCGCGCACAACGGGGAGGCGCGCGGATGAACTTGGTGGAGACAAAAGAGCGCGAGTCTATTTGAGGCTCACGCTCGGGCTGCGCGCGGACAAAAGAGCGGCCCGGCTTGGAAACAGCTTTTGGCTGCAGGAAGGAGGCGACCTGTTTAAAATTCAGCCAAGAGAAGGAGAGTCTCAGCTTAAAAAAGAAAAAAAAGAGAGGACATCATGAGGCCGCAGTGCAGGATGAATTATTCAGGCAGAGCTGCACTCAGCTTCTCTCACTGTTTTCAACAACAAAATGTTTTTTTTTCTTTCCTGCATATTCAGACAGCAGGGCTCAGGACGCGCGTTACCTCCCAAACCTGCGCGCACGAAAATCAACCGTAAAACACAGATTGTAAGTTAGTCATTTAAAGTTGCTCAATTTTATTTGTGCAATGACTTCACAGCATTTTTTTTTGGCGTCAGTAAACTGACTGTTTTACACGGATAAAAACAAGTGTGGACCATTATTACTGGTTTTACAATGTTTCTGAGCAGAGTTCTTTCTAAGGGCCCCAGATTTCCGCTCAGACTTTAACTCGTGATGTGTTGACGCGCTCCGGCCTTCATGGCCCCGGAACATAAATAATGTCCTCTAAATGATGTTAATATTGGGCCACGTCCCGTTTTAACGACGAGGGGAGTGTAATACGGTGTATTTTCGTTGAATAGGCTCCAATGTTCTCCCCGGAGAAACCCCTCCGACTGGCCCGGAGCGCAGATTCCCAGTGGGGGCCCCGGCCACCCGTCCCTCCGCGCCGCACGGATCCCTCCGCCGCCAGCCCCTCCCCTCCCCTGCCTCCCCGCCCCTCTTCTGCTTCTCTAAATCTCTTCAAGCAGATTAAATGGGCTCCTTTATTTCATCCCACTTTCATCTGGGGAGCAACACCGCCCCTCTCCCTCTGGTTCCCTCTCTCCCCGCAGCCTGCGGCGCGCAGCTCCTTTAATATCCTCATATCCGAGCTGCGTCCTCCGGAGCGCGCAGAGGAAGCTCAGCCTGTTGTGACTGTCTGTGGGTTAAAATGCACATGCTCAAACCATCCAGACGGATTTCACTGTGGAAGCTCTCTGCTGTAAATATTTCCTCTCGTTTTATATTTAAGCAGACAAATAAAAGTAATAAAACTTTACTAAAAGAAGAAAAAAAATCTGTGACACCAAATCCTTAGTTTGATTGAGTCCAAGTTGGAAACCTTGGAAATTTAAAAATCAAAAAATTAAAAAGCTAGGTGCATTAAAAAAGTTGACTTCTTTTCAGATATGAAATTCAATTTAGAAATGTGGGTCCACGCTCAGTGTAAACAAAGCCTTGGCTGAATTCACCAAAAACCACATGGAAGCTTGAGTCCCGTGACAGACCCATGATCAGACTGGTTTCAGCCTGTGTGAAAAAATATGGCAGAATCGAGAAAGCGTAGAATCTTAGAAAAGACGTTTAAATATTGGAGTGAAATTAGTGTTAAACATGAAATAAAAGAAAAAAGAACAAATTAGTCAACTTTCAAGAATCAGGGATCAAGCATGGAGGTGAAGGGCCATAAAATCACAGACTTACAAAGAGCTTTTGCAAAACTCTGTTTTGTTACTTCAGAAGCCTGGCTGTTCCATCAACACCATGTTATCGCTCACTTCAGCTGTTTTCTTAGACAAACACACACAATAATTAATCATCAATTCTGCATACAGTTTTTATTTTATTTTAATAGCTCGTTGATAGTCATTGTGAGAAATATGTGCAGATTTTATGTTTTGCTTTGACAGGTCTGCATGACACTGCAAAATT